TGCAGGAATGGCACTGTTCATTCCTGCAACAAGGATCCGCTTCCGTATCTTAAGGATACGGCGTCGTATCCTGATTTGGTTTGACTTTTTTTTTTTAAACGTGGGACCCACACTTGATTTGTGTGTGCAGGAAAGTGCTCTAGTCATGTCACATGACAACAAACGAACCCATATAACATATAGTAGGAAAATAAACAAGTTAATTAAATTATAAACAAATTAAATTAAGACATATATATAAGAAATATCTCAAATATTACGGAATATTTGCATGTTGTAAGGATGACATTTATATCATAAACTAATTTACTCCATATTAACATATGTAATGTAAGAAATAGAGTAGCACTTTCATGGAGGGAAAAAAAAGCAACAGTTTTAATATAAAAAAATGGCAAACTCCATAGCACATGGCGTTAAGGTAGATCGTAAGCAACCTACCTCAAATTTTTTGAGCAGAGGTTATTTTATGGAAATAAACCGTGACTTGTCACAAAGGGGGAACCTTACTAGTATTGTTCCCAGGCTTCCTCTATCAATCCTAATAGTATTCTTATAAGCATAGAGTTAGCTTAATTGCGGTTCAGATAGGATCCGGTGCATTATAAAAGGAGACCTGCATGATGAAGAATTCTTAAGAGGTCACCAATCCTAGTAGTATTCTCTGAGCTATGTCAAGAAGAAAAAGCATCTAGCATATAAAAAAAGACAGATCATAGTCCTGAAAATTAAAAAAAAAAAAAAAATATCCTCATAAAGTATTACAGTAGATGAGATATCCAACAACAATATCTTTTCATAAACCTGAGTTGCCCCATCTCAGCAGTACCCTTCAATTGCTTGGTGTGTGTTATCAATCAAAGCTGTGCTGTTGGACGCTGAGCAACAGCAGACATAATAACTAAGCGTGTATTCCCCTATAGCCAAAAATCATAATGGAGGATTTTGAGTGTGAAGCATTACGTAATCAAATGTTCAACACTTTTAGGGCAAAAATTAATTCCCAACATCTTGAAAAGTTTTGTTTTTACTTGGTGATGAAAAACAAAAAAAAAAATTAAAAAAAACACATGAAGGTAAACATTTGAACATAACTTAATTGTAAAGCATGCAAAATGTCACCTTTTGGTGATAAACTCCAAATCTAATTCTCACTAATGTGATTACTATAAGATACTACTCACTAACAAATTATGAAGATATGCGATTTCTTTGAGTGACACAAGTAGGAAGGTATGCCGCTTCTTCTCAAGTTCTAATCCTCTTGTTCGTCATCGGGATTAGAACTTGGAAAGAAACTGCATACCTTGCTTGTGTTGTGTCGCTATAGTAAGTGCTTGACCACATGCTTTTCGTGATGCTTCGCACTCAAAATAGTCGATTATGTCTTCGGGTTATCGAAGAAAACAAGCGCATGGTTCTGCTGTTGCTTCGCTCATCGTCCAACACCACATCGTTGATCGATTATACAGTGTTTTTCCTCCTCCGCCGCCACGTTCCTACCACGGTGTTCCAAACTCTCTTTCAATCATATCCAATCTTCCTCCTTGATCTTATCTTAGGGTTAGGTTAAATTGGGCTTTTGTTCATTTGGGCTTAACCCAATGGGCTTTGGTTATATTCACGCTTATCCTTTTGTTTTTAAATTTGTTTGGTTTGTTTATATTAATTATCATTTATTATTATAGTTGGCGTACTGTTTGATTTATATTAATTTATTAGTAAATAAAACATTGTTTATTAACTTGTTAACATTTAGTTAATGTTTTATTTATTTTTAAATTTAAAAAATTAATTTATTGTTTTATCTTTAATTTGCACAATCCATACTTGAAAATTTTGTATACTAGTCTATGATATTTACTTTATTATTTATTTTTTTATTTCTTAATGTTTAATTTATGTTTTTAGTAACTTGTGAATATTTGGTTCATGTTTTATATTAATACTTTGTGTTTATTGTTACGATTTAATCATTAAATGTTTATTTATTTTTGCTATTTTTTATTTGATAAGTTGTTTATACTACAATTACAAACTTCATGATGGCAAATTGATCACACAACTAATATGTCGATTGAATCACTCTGCTTTTACACCTCCATTATTCTCGGATAAGTGACGATTAAGAAGTTACTTTGAATTTAAATTGAATTTGATTAAGAAGTTACTTCTTAAGGAAAATGTGATATTTAGACTTGAAAATATTCCAATCGATTCATTGCTTCGCAACTAATCCGATTCGAGACGGGTCCAGGATTAAGACTTTAAACCCCTCCCAAAGGTGGTAATGTGATATTTAGACTTGGAGTGTGTAAGGATTGGAGTTGGACAAGCATATCTTTGATATTATAGGAGTATATAAGCATTTATTAAAAATAGGATTTAGATGATAAATTGATAATAACTATAAAAGGAAGGGGAAAATTACAAAATTTGATTATATTATTTTTTTAAAATTTATTAAAAAATGTACTGAGTTTTCGATACCGGGAATAATTAAGATATTTTTTAATTTAACTTTTGTGAATGCTAGACTCGTTAAATCAGTCTAGAACAAATGAGTTGAAGAGCTATTTAATGACATTTTATCAGAATTGATGAAATTAATTACAAGATATAATGAAACTAATAATACTCTTCAAAAACCAGTTTTAAAAATATTTTTAAATATAATAATAATATCATGAGTTATTTTCTTTTTTCTGTTTTTTTTGGTAAGCATATCATGAGTTATTTTCTAAATGTTCTAACAAATTATTTTTCTATAATGATTCATGTTAAGTTAAATCCTCAATGTGTAGTGGTGGATTATAATTTCACATAGCCGCGCAAAGGTGACGCTCTATAGTAGATTGTAGAGCATTACGCAGAAAAGAATATTTATTTAGTTGACCATCGGAGGGAAATAATTAATATCGTAGCTATTGAATTAGGGCCATCTTTTTTCTTTTCTTTTTTGTAGTATTTACTGACATTCTTTAAAAAACTAGCTAGTGTAATCATATGGTGAAGTGTATGAAAATTGCCTTCTAGTATGTTAGTTTATAGACTTAACAAAGGATAATTGAGGCAGTAAAATTTATATTTTCTTGCCTCTTCAAATGCTAATAATATTTAGCCAATTAGTTCTTTTGTAAGCACAATCATTTTCTCTTATATTCTTTCATGTAAAAAAAACCTTTATTATTTTAAAAGATATAACTTTATGTTATTTTAAGTCAAACGAACATAATGCATATTTGTTACTTTTTTACATTTTCTCTCTTTTTTACAATACTCTGTTTTTCTCTCGTCGTAATTTTGTAAATGAGAGAAAATATAAAAAGTCAACAAATAATAAATATCTATTATTTTACAACAAAAATATTTATTATTATCTATCATCGTAATTTTGTAAATGAGAGAAAATATTTATCCAAATACCGTCATATTACTTAAAATGATATAAAGTTGTGTCATTTAAAATAATAAATATTTTTTTCTTATTTTATTTACTAAACTTTTTGTTGGGATAAAAACTTGGTTTCTAAATAATCACACATTTATAAATTTATAAATTTAAAAAATTTAAAATTAAATAAATAAATTTAAAAAATTAATATCCAAATATCTTTGTGAAATATACATTGCATATGATTGATGTCATCGCAGGTTTCACATGCTTTTACAGCCTTTCCGATAGATCGGACTAAAGTAAAGTTAACACTTCTTTACAAAAGAGAATAATTTTCCTTAATTGAACACTTAATCGGTATTCCAACATGTCATCCATCTACTCAATTTTTTTTAACTCGTTTTGTCTTTTTTACAATACTCTCAAGGGGCCATTTGGTACATGATTTTTTTTAGAATTTCTGGGAAAATATTTTTTTTTAAATTTTAAATTTTCAGATATTATCGTAAACTGAATGTAAAAATTATATTTCTGAAAATCGAGATTCTCGTATAAAAAAAATTATCCTTTACCAAACACCCCCTAATTTGTTCACGAAACCTCACATCAGTGAATAGGGGTATCTGATTCGTGCTGGAAGACAAGTTTAGGACACTAAATCAAAATTATATGTAGATGTTAATCACGAAAAGTATCCATTACGAGTTACCTTTCTTCCTGCGGGGACAAAATATTTGTATACGTCCAGCGGCGGACTCAAGAAATTTTATTTATGTCCGGACATTTAATGGTTCTGAATTTTTTATATATATTTTTTAAATGCATTAAAATATATATATATATATATAAACAATAAAAGAAAAATTTATATATATAACATAACCATATCATGTGAGAGGATCCTAATTATTTATGAACAAATCAATTGTGACGGAGAATGAGAAAGAGAAATATTAGACTAGAGAGTGACAAGATCGTCACCGTTGATTTATCCATAACTGGTTATGATCCTCACATATGATACAGCGAGTTAAATAATACGTGAGAGAATTCAGCCTCGTATCTGTTAGAGAGATATAATATAAAAATTATGGAATACTCATCACTTAACAACTTAAATTTTTAGGTTAAAACTGTTTTAAATATGTTATAAGAGCCTCTCTAATCAAAGAATCACTAGATAGGAGAGTAAAAAGAGTCTATATTGTTAATACTTTAAACCCAGTAGGCTCTTATGTAATTAGCGTAGTTCTTTGCCGAATGTTAATCACAATAATTATAGTAGATTTATTGATGGAATTCATTGAGACTAATATTAAATACAAAAATTAAGTTGAAGAAAAAAAAAGTTGAAAAAGAAAAAGAATGGTATCAAAATGGAAACAGCTGTCCACAGTGCAGAGATGGAATAATGGTTCTCTCTAAACATCCACTACATGCATAATATAAACGTATTTATGCTCTTATCCCTTTCACTCTCACCAGATTTTTCTATTAAAGATACGTATATAGAAAGAAGGGTGAAGACTGAAGAGCAATGTGAGAAACTCATCTTTTATTGTTGACTATGGTCACTTTAATTCGTTTTGTTTTTTAGCACCATTTTGGACCACTATGAAAATGACAATCCCTTTGTCCTCTGTCTTCATACTAAGATAAACGGTGCTATGCTTTTATCACATGAAAAATGAAGTGGCTGATGCCCTTCTTGTGCTTAAGTACAAGGATGGTAAATGGGTAGGGCCCACCGAAGGTGCTTCTAAGTTCTGAACTATTTGGGGTCTCCATGTGACTCAAACCCTCCCTTCAGCAGCTTTATGTAAAGCTCTATTGATTCTTCCATTTATTTATTCCCTTCTTCCACATTCTTAGATGCACATTTGCTAAGTTTCTCTCGCTTTGGTTCCTCTCTTGCTAGCTAGTTACCGTTCCTTGAATGAACCAATGAAGCAACAAATTATCTTGCTTTTCTCTGCTCTCCTTCTTTCCTCTTTCATAGCTTCTGTTTGTTTCCTCGTACCACCAAAAGGTCCAAGACAAGGTAACTACATGGTGTTATGATTTTTATATATATATTTTTTCTTGGTATTGGTTGTTTTGTTCAGCTCCCTCTTTCTGTCAACTATTTTCTCTGAGCTTTAAACAACTTGGTATAGGTGAAAAGGAAGTGAATGTCAATGATAACCCCATTGCTCAGTCATCCTCTGAGTTGAAAGATGATATAGAAGAGGTAAGAATATATTTATTGTTCACCCCATATCTATTTCTATGTTACTTTCTCACATCCCCACAAGTTAAAAGCCAAAGTGATATTGCTTACCCTGATTAGCTTCTTTAGTTTATATTTCTCTTTCTCTTTCTCCTAATTTGATGCAATTTTATATATAGCTAATGGGATCAGAGGAGTGCTATGAGAAAGATGAAGAATGCTCAAGCAGAAGGATGATTACGGAGGCCCACTTGGATTACATCTACACCCAACATCATAAGCCTTGAATTAATTCAACGTTCTCCTCTATATGAAACTAATAAATTCGAGATGTAAGTCTATGTTCTATTTTTCCGAGGTTCAACTAGTCACTGTATATAAATATGAGAAGGGGAATTATCAAATAGATCAGCTACAGATATATGTTGAGTTCATCACATGAATAAGGTTTTCGAGATATATGTGAACTATGGTTTGTACATTCACAATCGTGCAAATTTCATATAATTCCTACGTAATTATCAGTATCGAGGTTAGCACTGTCAAGGTCGTGGGATTGATGTGCTTCTAACTTTATGCTTAAGATTAAGAACACGGTAAATAGATGTTAAATTTCACGAGTCCATCAGTCGTGTTTTGTTTGAATGGAAGAAGATTTTGAATTCTGAAGCTTGTTATCTTGATCCGACACAGATTGGTCTATAAAATGGAACATTACCTCCTAACATACGATGATTGAGATGAAAATAGAACCATTTTTCTTGAATGATATATGATGAAATAACTTATCCCTCACCAAAAATAAATAAATGAATAAATCCCTTAGATCCTAACCCACCCATTCTCAATTATTTTTAATTATTAGACCTTTTTAAAAAAAATTCAAAAAAAAAAAGACGTTGACCTTTAAGACGGACCTTTTAGTACCGAGTTATCAAGACGTTGCTATTGTCGACGGACAATAACAAGTTGAGGTTTCATCTAGCACAAGCGTTACTGCTCCGGAGTTATGGGGAACAAGGTGAAAGACGATGGTAGTGGGGGGAAAAATTAATGTCAATTACCAATAAAATGCCAGTTGATGAGTGTATTTATGACATAAGACATCACAAAATAATTAATCTGTAATTGATAACAAGATTAGACACTTGAATCCTCTTAACAAACATTAGTTTTTTAAGTTATTATTTTCAAAAGAAAAATGCTTCATACATATCTACAAGAAACATCCTCACTTTTTTTTTTTTGGTAACATATCCTCTCAACTCAACACTTAAAATGTGACAAAATTACAACATAAGTATGCAAACAACAATGTAAGGCCAATTATAACGAGAGAAAATGTAAGCATATGATGCTTCCAAGTACAAGTGTACGTTCTTTTTATAAACAAACGGTAACAGACATACAACGTAAAGTTAACCAGGAGTGCTAGTTTCGAAGCAACTCAAATATGGCAACTCTTGTTCTACAATGAACAAGGAGAAAGGTGACAGTAGGAAAAGGAAATGGCAACAAAATTAAAGGCAAGCTAAATACTTTGCCGAAATTTCTTGTACATCGGTTGTTGTATGTATTTAATCCATTAAAAATTAATAATAATAATTACATAAAGAGCAGTGAAAGGGCGTTCTTGCCTTGCAGAACCTGACGGATAATTATTCATCATTAAACAATGGCTCAGCATCCAAAAAGAAAAATGTATTTTTTTTTCTTTATCCACAACCAAAAAAGAAAAACAAAGTAGTGGGCAAAAATATTAATAACAATAATAACGATAATCCATTATTGTTTACAAAACTGAAATTCAGGAAATTAGAAAAGTAATGCCCAGGTAACAAATAATAATGCAATTTCAAACCCCTCTCTGCAAAGGGGACTAAGAACAGAAAACGCAAAAAGGGAAACCAGAATAGTTGCAATTATAATGATAGCATGTTTGGTTGTGGCACAACTCACTGAGGGTTTGATCATCCAAAATCACTTCTGTCATTTTTGTATGACGTTTGATTTCCATATGTGAACGGGGGTTTGGGGCTTGAATGGGAGTGAGTAGAAGCAAAATATTGATCTTTTGCGGCGAGTTGAGTTAATTATCCTTCCCTAGTATGCCAAAATTATTTTTCAGATAAATATCCAATCAAAAATTACTTCACTTCAAATCCACTTTTAACCAAAATCAATTTTGCAAAATCAAAATCATCTTAAGTTTGCAAATACTCACCAAACACAGCGATATGGAGGTCTATCGCCATCCGACATTTGCTTCGCCGAGTATTACAACCGGATGCTGTTAAAAAAGCACAATTCCACTTCATATCAAAATAAAGTTACACAACCACATCAATCAGCAAGTTGAGTAGTAAAAACTAGCGCATTGATATACTCTGAACACTAAGGAATTTCCTCTTCTTCCTAAGTATCAAAATAACAAACAAACAAAAATAAAACAAAAAAGGGAACAAAATTTGATTGACAGCTCTAGAAACCAATTAGAGAAATCAATTTAGCATGAAGGGCCATCAAGAATCAGTAAATGCAAACTAAACCTGCGTTCCCTCAGCTTCTAACTACATCAGAGTTCCAATGTTCTAAACTTGCTTTAATCCTGTTCCTGCAAAATATCACACGTCCAGATCAATTACCAGCAACAAAATTCATTCAATTTGAAGGAAAGCAAATAAGGAGGAAATTGAAGTGGGGAAAAAAAAGATAGATAATGAATAAGGAAATAAAGAGATGCATTTTTTTAACTTGAGAAACAGAGACCTAGGCCCCCATGTGCATTGTTCTGGTAATAAGTAATAACAGGGCAAATTTAATTTTTAATGCTCATCTTTCAAGACTGAATATCTAGAACAAACCCACTCTATCAAATAGATGGGCTTATTTTAAAAAAATAAAAATAAAAATAAAAATAGATGGACTAGAGCTAAGAACATAAAACTAGAAAGCCTCCACTCTGTAAACTTACATCAAATGATAAACCTTACCGTCTTAAGGACCCTGGATATCAAGTTATCTGATAAGCATCTTGCATGAATGATGGGACCCCTTCCAGTAATCACATCTCTAATTCCCATCTCACTATGGCTATCAGAGTTAGTCATGTAAATAGCCCCTTTGAACATCCACTCACCATTTTCCTGGCAGTAAAAATCTTCAAATAGCTCACCACACAACACACACAAGCATTGCTTTTCATCTGCTAGAACCATTGTGCCCTCTTGATTTCTGTCTGTTTGCTCGCTACATGTATCCACGGACTCAGTAAACTCATTCTCAGATGAATATTCAGTCTTGGCAACAATCCAGTCATTAGACTTTGGATACCATCTTGATGCCCTAATTAGACCATTTTGTTCTTTTTCTCTTGTGGCATGCCATTCCAAGTGTCTATTAAACTGTTCTTGGAATTTAAGCCTAAGGCCACAGATGCTGCAACGATGTGGAAGATCATCAAATAATCCGCTAATTACGGATGGATTCAATTCTCGGATTACATCAGGCTTAAACTCAAAGCCAATGAGATTTCTGATTTCTGTGCTGCTTGCTTCAGGTAAGGATGTAGGTGTTTTTACAGTATCATCTATCTCATCTTTGGTAAAAGGGACAGGGACAGCTGCAGAACCAGACACTGAAGCAACTGGCAAAGAGCTACTGGTGGTAATGCTGTCACTTCGATCTTCCAATTGAATCAGCATCTCAGATGGTTCCTTCGTCAGTAATTCTGTTTCTGCAGATATCAAACCCTTTGCAACTAATGAGCTTAAAAGGTTTGCAATTGGATTTAAGTTATTATCAGTGGCGCTTGAAGTCAGGGCTGAGGCACTGCTGACATTAGAGGAAGCTGGTCGTAGAGTAGATGATGCCCTTGGTGGTTGTCCAGCCTTTCTTTGAGGTATTTTTGGAATAGCAGACAAATTAACATTGGGAGGACCTAATGAAGATGGAGATGCAATTGTGGACACTGAAGAAATTACTGTGGCAGGGGAAGGACCACCCGACCGGCAAGGTCGAACCCCTAATTGAGATGGAAGATTCCCTGTATCCAGGCTACTTGTAGTAGGAAGACTACTAGTAATTGGCCTGTTGAAAATTCCACTCTGAACAGCTGCAGCTTCCAAACGACTTGTGGTTGACGGTTCTAAAGTTTCTCTAGCTAGATTAACTTTGGACAGGGGAGGCTTCACAGTCTTAACAGTAACTTCCGTGTGAGAAGAACCCAGTTGCTGCTGCTTCCTTGGCTGAAAAGTATTTGAAGAGAATGGACCGTGCAAGTCCTTTAGCTGTGATTTCCTCAAGTTACCAACCTGAGCATTATGAGGAAGGGCAGGGGAAGACTCTTTAATATATTGGCTCTGCAGACCTCCCAAAAATTGCGATGTTTTAAAAGTCTGGGGACAGTCTTGATCGGGCAAATTTTGCATTGGATTAGGGTAGTGCATAGTTACTAGCGGTGATGAAGACGGTTGTCGCAAAGGCGACTGCCCAGAAGGGGATTCAGTTCCCACAGAATGAAATTGTTGTCCCGCTAATCCTATTGTTGCATTCGGCAGGAAAGGCCGATTCCCCATCCTGCCAGCAGAAGAATTTGTATTGGTTGGCAGGGCACCATGCATGGACACAAATCCATCTGAGTGACCTGGCTTCTGATTCAACTCATCAATTGAGTGCTGCTCCTGCAATTGCCATGATAATGACGGATGATGCCGAAATGCAGGCATTTGTTTCTTTTCAGTGGCTAGACATTCAATGGGAATTTCTCTATCAACATTTGCCCCCAAAGGATTTCTAATTTGGAGTTGATCTTCAACTTCCTGTACATGAAAAAAAAATCAATAGATCTACAAATATTAACAATGCAGAATGAAGAGATTAACTAATGTATCTGTAATTTAGGAATTTGTGTTTGCATTTGGGGATTTGGTGTTTAATTATCAGTAATTTGGGAAATTAAGGTCATCATGTTTGGGTCCCAGGATATCTTATCCCAATTTAAGGAAGGACTTTATTTATTTTCTCTCTCTTTTTTTGGATTAGGAATTTTAGAGTCTTATGTTTGAGTTGTTTGTATAAATTAGGGTGTCCTTGCCACCTAGACTAATCATATTATTTTATCTCGGGGAATTCAATCTTATATAGAATTGATTATCAAAATTTTGGATTCTATTATTGTTCCCTGGTCCTAGTTCTGTTCTGCAGTCCAAGAATACCAAATTTTTAGCAAGCTTACCAAATTCTCATCATCAACAGTCCAAGAATCTTTGCTCACATTGTTAGAGATACTGGATGCACCATGACCACTCAATCCAGAGTTCATCTCCTCCCACATGAACTCTTCTTCCTCAGAATTTTTCCAGCTATTTGTTATCGCATTGCTGCGTGTGCTAGTTATGTTTTGTGTTGGCTGATGATGTGCATCCAAAATCATGGACTTTGGTGATTCAATATTCGAAAAACTATTCTTGAGACTGAAACCATTTCTTTGCCCAGATACAGTCCCTGGAACAACACCTGCTTTGAACCAACTTTTATCATGTCCTAACTCAGTCACTCTACCACCAGTTCTGCCAATACCCAAGCCCAAATTCCTTGAAAGATCAGAACCATATTCATTGCTTCCATATGATGCACCAGTGGTCTTTTCCGGAACAGAATCATTGAATGTATCTTTATTAGTGCGCTGATTATCCTGCAATGTAGATTATTACATTAAATAATGACAACTGACAGAGTATAGCACAAAGGGGAAATAAATTTTACTTCACATAAGTGGATGTTAACAGTAACATTAGGATCCACCCATGTTCGTGTAACAGTCAAAGTTCTATCTGGCATCTCTGGGTCATCATTTGAGTTTGCAATTGCTCGGGTCATATCATCAACGACTACTTTAGTCTTCATTACAGAAACAGTACATGATAAAAGAATTAAGCACTGGAGATCTGATATCAAAAAGATACATATGGCTAACTAAAGTAACAAGAAACGATCTTATGATTTGTATGAATAATACCAATAGAACTGTGACAGATATAAGAATTTGGCTCTGTCACAAACCCATCCCAACTGGGGAAAGAGGAAGAGCAAAAAGAGAAGTTCCCAAGTTAATGGCTCCAGGTTAGAGTTGCTTGACTAGTTGTACAAATTAGGGTTGTCTAAGATATCCAACAACCAGATAAAACAATGTCAGACAAAAAAAAGGACATTTTGTGATTAATCAGGAGAACAAAGGAGTATAAAATAGTTTATTGGAAAGCTCTAATTAAAAATACAGTGATTGCAAGAATATTGTGGTGTCCTTTAGCAACATACAAGATTGAAATATGATGCCATATGTCCTGGTCCAGTTTCATCATGCAAGGAATGACTTCAAATGCCAATTCGTCACAACATAAATTCTGTACCTCTTCCAATCAAATCAACATTTCAAAACTTTGAAGGATAAATTTGAGGTGCAATCGTTTCGCCTACCTTCCCGGACTGCTGAAGACGCTGTCTTTCTAAATACTTGGGATTCACATGTATACTATGAGGTGGACGTTGTGACTGTGAATCACTCCTGAGTGTAGCAGATGAGGAAGATGAACCATTGACAGCAGGAGTGAAGCCCAGTTCCTTCTCAATAACCTGAAGGGTCTGAGGAGGAAAGACTCCTTTCCAAGTTCCAAAAAGATGCCTCATACTCTGATGGACAGAAGGATCAACCTGTCTGTATGCCTTGCAGAATACCTAAAATGAAAAGAGTAATTAGCAAGTACCTAGTTAAAAATAATTGAGTAAAATGAGAGATCATATCTCAGGAAAGACATGCACAATTACATTTTGCATAACTTGAACAATAAAGGACAAAATTCAGTGCACAAAGCTCCTCGACTTTGCGAGGACAGGTGTGAGGGCTGATTGTAAGCAGCCTTACCCCTGCAATTTCGCAAAGAGGCTGTTTCCCAAACTTGCTCTTGTGACCTTCTCGTCACAAACGAGCAACCTTTTAACAATCTGAAGGATTTATTGTAGACCATAGTAGGAGACATGCATAAGTACATTTAAAAAGACATGAAGATCAATAACAGGCTAAGAGAAGAACAAATATCTGACCTCAGGTAGTCTGGCAGCAAAATATTTTATATAATCCCGCCCAATATTCTTAACAATACTGTCTAAGAGATACAGAGATGGCAGCTTTTGTTCACTAGGAACCTGGAAAATCATTAACACAATTCGATGAAACATGACCTTTCTTTGTATAACAAAGAATTAATGACCAAAGAGCTAGAAATAAGGAAGCTTGACATATGTAAATAAGGAAAGCAACAGAAACCAATAATATATAGCTCGCACTTAGAAATTAGCAGCAAATAACATCAAAATCCAGCAATAGTTATCAGCATCAATTGGCTAAAAAATTACATAGAAGTTACCATTAAATGTCATGTCTATTCTAAATTGTTAGTTATTCGATTCCTTAGTTCTAGCTGCCTCTAACAGCAAGGTCTCATAGTAAGGAGGCAAAAAACACAATCAAACAAACATTAAAAACAAGCTAAACACTCCAAATTTTATTGATAATGTGGATCATATGTTCCACGGTGGAAAAAGTACAACATATATAAAGAGCCTTAAAAACGGACAAAAATGTATTATAGTCATCTCGGGAAACTCAACAAATATGACATCTTTTAGTTGGGATTTTGATTCCTACAAAATGAATACTGTCCAATCTTCCAGATCATAATAAATACCGAGTCTTCCATCTGCTCTCTGATCCAAATTGATTGTGAAGGGATATATCTCTGTTATCTTTTGGACCATGCTACATGTAACTCCCTCAAACAAAGCAAAACCACTAAAACATAAGTGAAATGGTACAAGCAAAATGTCTTTGTACAAGTTAGCTATACAAATTCTCTCTCTAAAATTGAACACCCCCTCCAAAAAAAAAAGTAAACAAACTGAATTTTTGCATAATCTAAGAAAAAACCACAAACTCAAACTTGAGGGATAAGACTTGAAATGGTATATTGGCTTGTAATCTATAAAACAGAACTACCTTTCACAAGAACTGCCAAAATGCTGTACAATTACAACGTATACACAAATAAAAAAATTAGGGGAAAAAGAGAGAGAGAGAGAGAGAGAGAGATGCAGCATTAGTTGAGATTGGCAATCATGGAGTGATCATTTCTTGCCTCATACAGTATAAAATTAAATGTTTTCCAAGATTCATACTCCCCGCTGCATTCAAAGTCAAGAAAATACCACGAGAACTGTGGAGTACCACTCTCTAAGGATGCTGCTGGTAAGTTGCAAAAGGACTACCAAACTGCTATAATCTTGTAGATTGCAGAATAATAGTTCTTTCAGCACTTACTTATTTTGATTGTGAAGTTACATATTTTTTTTTTCTGGTTTAACTTCCTTTGTTGATTGGGGGAAAAGTACAACTCAAAGCCAATAGATGGATAAAAGCCTTAAGTGGACCAATGAAACGAAGTTGGAAGAATCGTAATAAGCCATTTCTGAATATTCAATGTCTTCAAATGGATACTGCAACTCTCCCATTATCATCACACAACTTGCACAAGAGTTACAATGCCAAACCATCACATTCCATTAATTGCAAACTTGTTGCAATACACACAACCCTCATGGCTTTCTCCCACAAGTTTAGTGTCACACACCCAGAGGTGATCCTCTCATGTCACATGACATGAGACGATCTCAATCATTCATACACAAACCAACAATTATCCTTTACTCACTCTCTATCTTAACAGTTTCCCTAGTAATCTTTGGACGGCAGAGATCGTTTCACATTAGGTGATGTGACATGAGGGGGACCATTCCCCTCACACACAAAATAGTACAACAAGAAATAACAATATGTACCATAAAATCAGGAAGACCAATATAACGGGTCCCTTTTTCTTTCTTTTTTATTCCAGGTGTATTACAACAATTCAATTCAATCAGCAATTGGCTCCATAACCACCACCACCCCAATAACAAAAAAAAAACAATTGAACAGATAAACAGCTACACAGTGTTAAACTAAGTTCACCTCTAGAATGTTAGCACAAATAGTGGAGGCAATGGCCTTCTCTGCAGATTGGTTCTCGCCTGCAATTATAGTCAAGTTCGTGATTATTGGTTTAGAGTTGAAAGTAAGCTCGGCAAGCGCGGTCTTATACTGAGCCACAAGCTCCTGGAACGGCGGCGGCTGCGGCTGATAACCGCCACCGCTGGCGGCGTCACCACCACGACCAAAATCGCTGCTTTCCAAGTCTCTGTTGTTTGTTCTAAACCTTGCAGACGCCAACGTCGTAATCCCAGAACCCACTTGTCGTTGAGGAAACGTTCTGCCACTCGGACTCGGATCCATCAATCGGGGCTTCTTCGGACCCGGTTCTCTCGATCTATCGAACGGTCTACGTGAACTCTCCATGCTCACCAAATCAAATACCAAAAAAATAAAATAATCAAAAACCCTAATCCTAACCCTATTTTACATACAATTGCACGACGAAGGTATAGAAACTAGATTACAATACGAGAATAGTATCGCTATTATTATTCGATACACGAGAATTGAATTATCAGAATTGAGTGAACAAAAAAGAAATACAAAATTGAAACAAAAGACCCTAATTCTAAATTACAAAATGAGAACGGAGATAAAACCCTGTTCCAATTCGATAGATGAGAGAGAAGGATGAAGGGCCTTGAAACTTGTGCATATAAAGACGAAGAAGAAGTGGTCGAATTCGATATGGTAATAAGGGAGAAATGAAAGAACTGTTGAGGAGTTAAGCTCGCTCTTCAGACACGGGACATCTGATTTTTCATGTGCCTCTAGGAGGAGGCTATTTTATAGGGATGGATTTCATTATTTATTTTATTTTGGTAATACATACTTCAATAGTATATTTAAATCTCTTTTTATCCAGGTTCGAATCTGAGCTTGATTGATCCCTTTGCAGTTTTGCTCCTAATTAAAAAAACTCGTATAAAAACATTTCACTCATCTGGTTATGTTTTATCGTTGATCAAGTCATGTATTTCAGGAGAGCACAATATATTGAAGTATTTTTCGTGAAACAGTGAATACTTAAGTTATATATTCGAGTATTGTTAGTGATATGGGATTTTAAAAAATTACTTACTCGAGTATAGATGTAAAGCCCGGTCACTTGCATCATTAATGAATGTTTTGCTTTGTCCTCACTTACGTATTTTTTGAAAAACTTTCTAGGTCACATATTTTATAATTGTTCTAAATCAAGTATGTTTAATTATGAAATTTTTATGGGTTCGCGGAAGGTAGATATACCTTATTGGTATACGTATTATATATTAATTTCTTTAAGTTATCTTCAACTATACAGTTTTGTACCTGCACAGTCTCAAAATTTTTCTCGTTTGGGTGTTGATTTGATTTATTTATATACCCTTCCAGCTGGAAGTCTGCAAGGAGTCACTCCTTGTTCATGCTTTTTTTGTGTATCGGTGATCACTCTCCACCCTCGTCAACTCTCGAGACGTTACATTGTAACATCCCAAGTATTTAAAAGAAAAAAAAAGAATAGAAATAAATAAACATTTATAATAGCAAATGGATGTATAATAATAATAAATTAAATAAAAATAATAATATAAATGCAAGAAACACAAAGTTTCGTATAATATGAAAATAGATTATATAAGAAATTAAATAATATGACTATAAAAATAATAAATAAATAATCTTTTAAGTCATATATATGTTAACGATTATGACTACTATATCTTATGTAATATTATACGTCAAATTTATAAATCTGAATGTTATCGAAATTTTGGTAAACAATATCGATAACATATGTGAAGAAAAAAATATATTAATAAGAAGAAGGATAATAGCTGATAATGGAGATTTTATTTAAAGTAATAATGATAGGTACAGATGTCATAAAATTAAAGAAGGAACCATATAATAGGATAAGTACAAACTATTTATATAAACAATGTCTCTGTAACCCAAACGTAAGGATATCAAATTTAAGAACGGTGAAAGAGAAGAAAAAGAGGTGACTACGACGTATTTCAGCAAGGTAGTCTTGAGTAAAAAATTATTCTCACCTTCTTCCAATATCATATTTTTCCTATCCTTTTAAACTTTTTAGCGTGTGTTTGATCAGAGGAAAATATTGAGATAGATGGGTAAGTGAGAAGTGAAAATATCCCTAAACCATGTTTGGTTGAGCCAACTTCCATACTTACTTACCTAAATCACTATCCTACCAAACCAAGATGCATATTGTTATGGATATGATTATCATATCTCAACTACCTACTAGGGTATCTAGCAAGAGATAGAGTCATCAGCATCTCAACAACTCTAAACAGCCAAAAAGGCACAAGATAAGGATGTCATCCCAACAGAAAGAGAGTTGAATCCTATTGCAATTAGGGGAGCTCAAAGGGCCCAAGTCCAAGAAGGTAAACCTATAAATAAGAGCCTAAACACCCTAGGTAAACACTTTTGACATATTTACGAATATTGCCCACACTGTGCACCCACCCACCCTTGGCTATAAGTCTATTGCTTGTGCGCAGTGATTGGGACCTCGGCGATAAGCCAAGTATACACTTGATATACACTATCTTTGAGCGCATACCATATGGTATAGCAATACGGTCTATCCAAGACTTTACATTGGCGCCGTTTGTGGAGAACGATAAATTTCGACTCCCATTCCACGATGACGAACACTCGTTCGACGTCCAGCAACGTCCAAATACCGCCACACCAGTCCGCGACGGAGCAGCTCCAGGCGACTGCAGCACCCGTGCTGGTAGATGTGCAGGTCGAAGGGATCGGCCATCAGAATCCGACTCCCAGACCCCAGCCCAACGCGGCAGCGGCTACAGTCCGCCCACCACACAACGAGCCACCGAACGTGACCACGATGGCCATGGGTGCAATCCTTCAAAGGTTGCAAGAGATGGAAAACAGATTCCTGACTCAGCAACGAATGGATGCCCAAAGGATGGCGACATTCGAGGCCGAGCTGAGAAACCTGAACGCAGAAGGTCGACCTAGGGGAGCCGGGCAGGTCGTAAATGGCGGACCTCAGCATCAGAACGCCGAAGGCGTCCAACATCATAATGTCGAAGACCTCCGGCATCAAAACGCTGAAGGTCGACCTGGAAGGAACGGCCATGCTGGTGATGGTAGGCCGCAACAGCAGAACGCGGCTACAGTCGAAGGAAACGCACAGAATGTGCAGAACCCTAACCTCGACAACAACTGGAATGGTGGAGTTCTGAACGACAACCAGGACAAGAATTATCTGGATGATGAAGAGGCTAATGATAGCCCATTCACTGAGAGGCTCATGAACTTAGCCATACCGCCGAGATTCAAGAGCACCAGGATACCTCTGTACGACGGAAGTCAGGACCCAGAAGCTCATTTAGAGGCTTTCAAGACCGAGATGTTGTTCAACGGCATCACTAGACCTATTAAGGCCAGAATCTTCGCGACGAAATTGACTGGTCAGGCGATGACCTGGATAACCAGGCTTCCCAGGAACTCAATCGACTCGTTTGAGGACCTAGCCCGGACTTTCCGACTGAACTTCGCAACAAGCAAGGTGCATCCAATGTCGGCCTATGCTCTGGGAAGAATCCGGCAGAAGGAGAATGAATCGCTGAGGAAATACCTTAACAGGTTCAAGGATGCCGCCCTCAAGGTTCGGGGCTTAACTGAAGCAGTGCACCTCCACTTAATCATTTCGGGATTAGATGGCGACTCTCCACTTGCGAGGCCCATCTATAAGAACCCGGTGAACGATCTGGAAGAGTTCCGGCAAAGGTCGGATAAATACATTGACGTGGAAGACATGCAAAAGGTCTACCTCTAGGTTTCCTCATTGGTCCATCCTCCTCGTAGTCACCTGTTGGTGTTTTTGGCAAGAGAGGATAACCTCATCTTCAAAGGTTGCAGCAAATCCCAAGCTTGCCTTACTGCCTGAGCCAGATCTTATGCTGACAACATTCTCGTCGCATAACAGATGTTCATGGGTGCTGGGCTGCAACCAAGCTGGAAGCAGGAAATCCTTATTAAGTGTACTTCCCCCTAGCTGGATGAAACTCAACACTGATGGGGCCTGCAATTGTGACACCAGGAAAATGGACTGTGGTGGTGTGCTTCAGGATAACAATGGCAGATGGGTTGTGGGTTTATCCAAAAACCTTGGAAGAGGCAGCTCCCTGTCAGCTGAGTTGTGGGGCGCTTTCATTGGGCTTGATCTTGCTTGGAGGAAAGGCTGTAGTCATGTTTGGTTGGAAGGGGACTCTTCCACCATGATAAATCTGCTGCTAATTAGTTGCGATCCTCATAAGCCTTGTTTTAATCTAGTTTCTAGAATCTACTCCCTTGTTAGTAGACAGTGGAGTGTGAAGATTACTCACACCTTTAGAGAAGGCAACATTGTGGCTGACTGGTTAACCAACCTCTCTTTATCCCTGGACTGGGAAACTGTCATTTTTTGATGATCCCCTCTTGGGGTGTGGCTTTGCTGTTCAGTAGGATTTCATGGGTGTTATTACACCTAGACTTGTTAGCTTGTAGTTCTTTTGTCTCTCTTGCTCACAAAAAAAAAAGTGTCAAAAAAATTCCCCCCACATTTTGAACAGCAAACAATGCGTTGCAAATTAGATATTTTTTTTGGATTTATTTATTAAAAACTAGGCTATATTTTATTTAAATTTTGAATAAAATAAGCTTTTTTTATATTTTTATAATGTGTTATAAATTATTATTTGTTTGAATGATCTCCTAGATTGCACCGACACTTTAAAAACTTGACATGTCATTTTTGACAGTCCCTGACATCCTGACATTCTGACACACTCCGACATTTATAATTTTTGAAATTTTCATTATATATCATGAAAAAATCGATCAATATTTTACCAAGCTAATAGAATAAAAATAGAGTAAATCCCTTTTTTCAGTCCCTAGCAAATTTCACGGTACCCACTTTAGTCCCCAGCAATAAAAAATGTCATTCATGGTCCCTGAAACATTCAAACTAGGCCCACGTTAGTCCTTCTGTTACTTGAGCTCCAATGCCGTTACTAACGTTGCTCACATGGAACGTTAAGTCGCTGAGTCACAATCCACCTTGGACAAAATACAACGTCGTTTGGCTAGTCACACGGTCTTCCTAGCTTCTTCTCTTTTTATATTATTCTTCTTCCTCCCCGAAAACGTTAACATTTTGTGGCTCCGCAGATTCTTCTCTGTTAATCTCTTCTGCAACCAATGCCGCCACATAAAACCCAGCTTTCCTTAGAGATGAGAAAGAAGAAGAGGGTTCTAGAGTTCTGGAGACCAAACATGAAAACCTTGAATGCCCACAATATGAAACAAATCGTTTGGGTATAGCTGCAAATTGGGTTTGTGTTTGGAGATTGTCATTCCTGACACTATTTTCACTATGATAAATATAAGACACGAAAAAACAAAGTTTCTCCAAATATGATGAGGTCCAAAAACCTATGTAGCAGCAAGACTGGAAAAAAAAGTTCCTCCAAATATGATGAGGTCTAAAAACCTATGTAGCAGCAAGACTGAAAAAAAAAGTTCCTCCAAATATGATGAGGTCCAAAAACACACCTCTGAGCAACTACCATTCAACCCTGAAAATTAGTAAAAAATCCTTGCAAGTAAAAATCCATTTGGTGTATATTAACTTATAGAAATAACAGAGAAAAGATATGGCAAGATAATGATAATAATAGACATGTCTCACAAACATCATATACCTGGGCACCATAAATAAAATGCATC